TGTAGTGGATTCCCCTGCTGCAGATTCTCTGGCCTGGGGGGAAGACATTACCTCATGGGGCCTACCACATGGCTCAGTGAGTAATCCTGTCTTGGACTCTGAATCTACCCCTGCAGATTCCCCTGCTCCAGACCCAGCCAACACTAGCAGATATGAAAGCAGTTACATCTTTCTTTTTTGCAGGCACTAGACCGGAAGTTGTCCCAAGGTTTGATTATGTAAGTCCCAGCAGACAAAAGATTCCAGGGGTTTTATTCAAACCTTTTCGGGGTTCCAAAACCAAATGAGGATGTAAGGATTATTCTAGATCTCAAGAGACTGAATCAGTTTCTAATTGTTAATTCTTTTCGGATGGAATCAGCCTGGTCATTAATGGCCTCGTTACAGGATGGAAATTTTCTAGACATCAAGGATTCATACCTTCATGTTCTGATATTTCTCTCTCATCAAAAGTTTCTGCAATTTGCATTTTTCAGTTTGTGGCACTACCTTTTGGGTTGACCATGGCCTCTCGAGTGTTCACAAAAATTCTGTCTCCAGTGTTGGGGCAGCTCAGAACTTGGGGAGTATCGGTCTTGTGTTATCTGGACGATCTACCCTCAGGAGTCAGTCTGTTCCAAACTTGAGACAAAACGTGGCCTTTGCGGTTCATACCCTGGGACACCTGGGCTCGGTGCTCAACTTCAAGAAGTTGGCCCTGGAGCCAGTACAAAGCCTGGAGAATTTGGGGATGGTCCTAGACATGGTTCAGGCAAAAGAGTTTCTGCCTCCAGAAAAGAGTCACACCATGAAAGATCAGGCTTGGAGTTTAAAAAGTAGGAAACATCCTCCGATATGTCTCTGCATGAGATTACTGGGGAAACTGGTGTCTTTGTTCGAGGCAGTTTTCTATTCGCAATTTCACGCCAGACCTTTGCAGAGGAACATTCTTTCTGTTTGGAACAAGAAGATTCCAGCACTGGATTGCCGCATGTCTCTGTGCCCTGGGGTACTGCGGGTCTTGAATTGGTGGTTGGAAGTTTGCAATTTTGAAAAAGGGAGATCTTTTCTGCCAGTGGTGTGGAAGCTGGTAAACCACCGATGCCAGCCCCTTGGGTTGGGGGGGGGCTACTCTGGAAGGGGCCACAGTCCAGGGGACATTTTGCCCGCAAAAAAGAGTTCTACCTATCAGTCTCCTAGAACTTCATGCGGTGGGGTTTGCCCTGAGATATTGGACGTCCAAGCTTCAGGCTCGGCCGGTCAGAATGCAGTCCGACAATGCCATAGCGGTGGCATACATCAACCAAGGAGGTACCAGGAGCTGGAGAGCTCAGGGGGAAGTAAACCACATTCTGGCTTGGGCAGAAGGGCATGTGCAAACTCTGTCAGCGGTATGCATTCCGGGGATAGAGAATTGGCATGCAGATTACCTCAGTTGCCGGCATTTAGTTCTGGGGGAATGGACCTTGCATCCCGAGGCTTTCTCAGCGGTCTGCTAGCTTTGGGGGTGCCCAGACAACAACTCCCGGATTTGGGATCCTTTCGTTGTAGGGATGGATGCCTTGGTAATATCTTGGGACCAATTTGCCCTAATTTACTCTTTTCCCCCGATTCAACTACTGCCATGTCTCACGCAGGATTCAGAAGGGGGTAATTCCGATGATATTGGTTGCTCAGGCCTAACCCGGGGGGGCTTGGTACATGAACAAGTGAAGCTACCAGTGGAAAATCCGTAAGTGCTGCCGAACTGGTCAGACCTGCTGTCTCAGGGACCAATATTGCATCCAGCTTTACGGTCTCTGAATTTGACGCCATGGCTTTTGAGCCCCAAATTTTGAAAGATGGGGGGGTGTCAAGCTTGGCGTATATTTCCTGGTATAAGGGGAAATTTATGATTGGGAGAATTTTGTCTTTTCCCCAGTCAGGAGTGGAGAACCGGTTGGCTGTTGGTACTATTAATACCCAGTTTTCAGCTTTGGACATTTTATTCTAAAGACCCATTTCTTCTCACTCTTTGGTTCGCACTTTTTTGCAGGGAGTGATGTGTACAGTTCCTTTTGTCAGACAGCCCCTGTGTCTTTGGGACTTGAACTTGCTCTTGGTAGTATTGCAGAAACCACCATTTGAGCCTATTAGGGAAATTCCGTTAGTTCTGTTGACTCGGTAAGTGGCAATCACTTCTGTAGGAAGAGTGTCGGAGCTGGCAGCTCTTTCTTCTAGAGAACCGGTTTTGGTTTTTCATCAGGATAAGGTGGTGTCGTGGCCTCATCTCTTTTTTTGCCAAAGGTGGTTTCTAGTATTCATTTGAATCAGGACATTGTACTGCCCTCATTTTTTCCTTGGCCTCAGTCAGCAAGAAATGGATCTTTACATGCCCTAGATATGGTAAGGGATAAAAGGGTCTTCTTGAGAATGACAGCAAAAATCAGAAAGATGTCTGTTCTGCCAGAAGGACCCAGGAAAGGGCAGGTGGTGTCCAAATCCTCTATTTCTCATCGGATCCACCAGTTAATCATTCAAACCTATGGTTTGAAGGGCAAAGTTCCACACTTTCGGGTGAGAGCATACTCTACCAGGAGTTTGGGGGCATCTTGGGCTATCCGCCATTAGGCGTCAGTTGCTCAGGTTTGCAAGGCTGCTACATGGTCTTTGGTTCATACATTCACAAGGTTTTACCAGGTGTATGTCAGAGCCGTGGAGAATTCTTCTTTTGGCTGCAGTGTATTACAAATGGCTGAGTAGGTCCTTTTGGGATTGATGGTGGTGATTATTATGGTGTCACCCACCCCTCAGATTTTTATTGCTTTGGGAAATTCCACATAATCATCATTATAGCCTGCTCTGTGTTCCTAGATGTACGATAAAGAATATTGATTTTTTTTCTATATATTTACCTGTAAAATAAATTTTTTGGAGTAAATCACTGGTCACAGAATTTTCTTTCTGGAATTTCATTGCTTGCTACAAAAACTGAAGTACTTCTGGTGTAGGAGGGGTTATATAGGGGAGGACTTCCTGTTTGATTGGTCGGCCAGTGTCCATTCACTTATAGGTGGCATATAACCCACATGGTCATTATTATAGCCTGTTCTGTGTCCCATGATGTATGCTAAGAAATGAGTTTTACCAGTAAGTATGTAGCAAAAAATACAATTTGTTCAATATCTTCAATTACGTCATGCTCTACAGACTCGAGAATCATTTAAGTACAATCCCTCTACAATCTGTTCCATTGCTATTGCTACATCCTTTACTAAGTGAGGGTTGATAGGGGATTTATATTAATAATAATAATATTAATAATATATTTATGTTATAGCTAGGATACAAGTGAATAGCCTACGTAATTGGCAACAGGATATAACATCACTGGATGATGAAGAGTGCACTCAGGCACTGGAAATGTTGCCAAAGGTTTCTCTCCCCTTCGCATCATTTGACTTAGCTATTCATAGTCCATAAAGTACATTATACTCCACTGAAACTCCACTCTTGTGGGGGAAGCAACATCTCCACAATGCCCTAGACTTACCTCAGGCACAGGATCTCTTATTCACAATTGTTGCGAAGCCCAAAACTCCATCGTTAATAGGTGTTTATGTTTGAAACTCTTAATTTACTCGGCTCGGCTACTCAGGTTCTGTTAGATCCTAAACTGGCCCTCTTAAAGCGGAGCTCCACCCAAAAGGGGAAGTTCCTCTTTAAGCTTTTGTCCCCTGCTCCCCATTAAGGATGGCACCATTGGTGAGGGGGGGGGAGCGGGTACCCGATTTTGACAGGGACCCACTTCCTCTGCGATCGCCTAAGGCGATCGGAAGCGGAAGTTGTCCTCCTCCCTCCCCGTAGTCTTCTGGGACTCGTGACAGGTCCTAGAAGACTACGGGGCCATTCACAAAACACAACGCTTCTCGCACATGTGCAGTGGGCACCTGGGTGTGAAGCTGCAAGCTGGGCGCCCACACTGCAGATGCCGTCGCAGCGGAGAGAAGACGGTGAAACCAGCCATGGTGAGAACATCGCTGGACCGAGGGACAGGTAAGTGTCTGTATTTTACAAGTCAGAAGCTACAGTTTTTGTTGCTGCTGACTTTTATTTTTTTTTTTCAACTGGAATTCTGCTTTAATTTTTTTTTCCAGACTGAAAATGCATCTAATGTGGACAAGATCCCTATATTTAGTTCGCAAACTCATTTTGCAGTTAATGAATTTCACCTACACCTCCTCCGTATGATCAGTGGTGTGAAGCACTAAATTTTACACTGAGGAGAGAAGAGTTAATGCACAAACATAGAGAATGCTCCCAAAAATTTTTAAAAAACGTGGTCCTGGTGGCTAGATTGTAATCAATGATCCCACTCATCTTTTTCTCAGGGTGTCATAGGAGACAGTTAAATGATGTACATTGCTACTTAAGTGAAGAATTTTTAAAATGTACTGTATGTTGAGTACTCTGCATGGGTTGCTACTCCTACATCTGTTATTTAGACCTAATTGGTACTATTTATGGTATTGAAGGCGGGTGATCCATCTCTTATGGTGTGTATGATAAATATTGTATATGTTCTGTATGATCTAACATTTGTCTTTTGTATGTAAACATTTGTCATATTTTTATATTGTCAGATTTGACAACTAGTATTGGGTATGTGAAGTGTCTTGCTTTCTTTTTCTTTACTTGTTTTTTTTACCTTTTGTTCACTGTTATTGAAAATCTGGTTAATAAAAATGACCTGTTTAAAAAAAAAAAAAAAAAGTATAACTAAGCACAAAACATATCTTTTTTTGTAGTTTTGGATAGTGTGGAGATTATTAGAACATGTCAGGCTTTCATTGCTGTCTGTGTCCCTATCAGGGAGATTCACACTTTTTATTTGTCCTGTTTACTGGTATCTCCAAAAGTGACAGAAAATTACTCATTTTGTGTTGTTTACAGAACATGAATAGTAGGAAAATCTTCCAGTGAGAAACCCTTGATTACTGTACCTGTACCCAAAATGAAAAAAAAGTTTTGTTTGTACATAAAAGTGTTACTAAACACACAACAGTAAAATCAGTCTGTATATGCAGTAAATCATGCTTGTTATACTCACTGGAAACTAAGGGGTTAATCCTCTGTATTGTGTAAAAGAGGCTGTTTGATCCTGTCTTCTACTGTCCCCAATCCATCTGCTGATAGTACAGAGCTCTAGGAGTCACTCTGCACTTGCTCAGTTTAGTGTGTATGGCTAGAGAGTTTTTTTTTTCCATTGGGAAGGTGCACGTGATCAGGACAGGGCCAATCAGCACTGTCCAGACAGAGGGTCAGGGGTTATGCAGCCTCATAGGACAGCCTCGGCATTGTGTAAAATTTGATTCTGACTTCTCTGATCCTCCCCTACTTCCAGTGCTCCCCTCTTATCTACTGATAAGACATCAGTATGAAGTCACTCTGCACATGTTCAGTTTGGTGTGTATTGCAGAAGAGGTTTTTTTTTTTTTTTTTTTTTGGGAGAGTGGATGTGATCAGCACAGTTCCAATCGGCACTGCCCAGACAAAGGTCAGGGGTTTTGCATCCTGTTAGAGCAGAATGAAAACGCCTCCTAGAAGCTTTAACGTGCTTGGCAGGACACTGATAAAAGTCACAAGACTGCTCTAACTGCTGATGAGTAAAGGGATTTAGCAGTTAATATTTACTAAAGTAATTGCACTTCCATGTTCTGTGTACTGAGGGAGACCAGATGTACTGGATGCAGGGTCCTGGTTTAGTAACACCTTAACTCCTGTGCATGCAGAAAATGTACATGCACAGCTCGGTGTATATTGTCTAGAAGATTGTGAATTGACAGGTAAAAATTCCGTATTGCAGAATAGACATATTTTGTCTCTTCTGCTATAAAAAGCCTATCTGGTCCCTTTTAATTTTTTTTTTAAGTTTGAAGTGTGATTGGTGATAAAGGAGTCCCAAAGAAAGGAAGTTATATAGCAAATACCTCAGGAAATAGTGACCCAGTGAGGTGGTCTGTGTGTCTGTAGGTGCAGCTGTCAGAATATTGTAACTTACTACCTAGGGTATGCTCTTTAATATAATAATCATTCTTCTAAAGAGATACTGGTTCACACCTTTCTGTCTGTGACAGGATTATCTCATAAAACATATCAGTCTAGCCTGGGTATACTGTAACATTTACGATCTTTGCATTTGATCTTAATATTCCTTTTTCAAAGTGAAACTGATCAGGCTGTTTACCATTGTGATTTGTTTTTTTTGTGCAGGTTCCTTATGGATCTGAATAGTGCCAGCACCGTTGTATTGCAGGTCTTGACACAAGCAACTAGCCAAGATTCATCCGTATTGAAACCAGCTGAGGAGCAACTCAAGCAGTGGGAGACGCAGCCTGGCTTCTACAGTGTCCTGCTGGTGAGACCTTCTTTACACACTATGGGGGAGATTTACTAAAACTGGTGCAGCTCTTCATAGTATAAAATAGGAAATAAATAAGTGAGCTCTAAAACAATCACAAGCAGCCAAAGCACCAAAAAGGCAAACCAAAAAAAACCTCCAGAATAATCAAGAAAAACAAGGGGGTGCGGCGCTGGAACCCCTAAAAACAAAGTTCAATGTATGTATACACATAAATTGCACTAAACCCAGATGTGGATATAAAGTGACAAAAGTGCAAAATGCAAAAATCAAGGTGATATTAGTGAGCACTATCGATGTGCTGAGTGTTAATAACCATACACAGTCCTGAAAACAGTTCATATAAAGTGCTTAGAAGTGATGATCCATCTGAGGGGATCTCAGATAAGTGCTCCTTACAACATCCTGGTGATGTGCCGTGAAATTGTTAGGAATACGCACTCACCAGATGCGCAACCTTTATGCGCATATTCACATATGTAAATCTCAAAGATGTTTGCTGAAGGCCTCCTTCAGAATCGGATCAGCCTGGTCTGGTCACAAACCGATAAGGATCCCCTTCCCCTGGGTAGTTTGCAGCACCTAAGGCCTCACTCCGGAATGGGCTCTGTACAGGTATGTGCTCACAAGGAGCCAAAAAGAAGGAAGCCCATAGTGCAGTATTTTCAAGCAATATTTATTGAATGCAAGCTTTGATGATGAGCTCCCTCCGGGGATCCGTAGAGGTGAATGGGGGTTGGATTTGGGGAGCTCTTCATGGTAGAATGCACAGCTGCAACTTGAGCTTGTTTAAGTAAACAGTAAGGCTGGCCATACACTGTACAATTTTCTGTCTAATTTTTGCCCAATTTCCTTTAGATTTATCTTCAACTATGTAGTGCAAGGGCCTGCCTAATTGGATACAATTGAAAGTGTTCAGGTTTGACCTCATATATGTTTTTTGGTAAATCTAAACCAAAATTCTCAAGAAAATGGTATAATGTATGGCCAGCCTAACTCCACTTTTGTTGAGAAAAAAAACCTTCCCCTCTGGGTGATCTATGTACATTGCAAGGATTTTAACACACTTTGTTGAACATTCCTACTTATTGTTATTCTGAAGAAACAGCTGTTTGTTTGTCTGTGTCCATGTGCAGAATGAATTTGTATGGGTATGGTTTTATAATTATCAATCAACTGCTGCACCTGCAGGGTTCTAATGAAGGAAGTGGCAGGGTCTGCATTCTTTTAGAAGTGATTTATCTTTAGTGAGCATCTGACTAAAAATTACATTTGTGCTGCAGTGGATGCCAAAAACTCTGACTTATATTAGTGCAGACTTCTGGGAAAATCAGTGAGCCAATCATTCAAGCAGGAAAAGACATTTTCAGGGGGCGTAATTTTTGTGTTTTAAGAATTGTATTCAGTTTTTGAGAAAACAAAAAAAAAAACCAAACAAGAATATGCCATTGTATAGTCCTATCCAAGAGTGTTGGGAGTTGAGAGCCTCCCATGGAAAAACATAAAAAGGTTATTTTTATTACCATTCAATTTCAATATGACTCACGTCACAATTGTATATGCCATATTATTATATTTTTTTAATTGCTAATTTTTTTTTTCCAACAAAAGTGGAGTTACCCTTTAAACTTTGACAATAATACCTAGACGCTCATTGATTTCTATGTAGAGCTGCACCTGATTTTGCACTCTCCAGTTTTAATAACTCTCCCCCTTCATGTCATAATACATGTCTAAGGCATATAACACACGCATCAGATTTAGGGCCATAGCACTGAAGTAGTAGCTACAGAACTTAGCTTCTTAGGGGCGTAGTCATAAACCAGTGAATGTGACTTTCACCATTGACTGATGGTGGATTAATCGCTGTCATTAAAAAAACACATACCTGTAAGATTCACCAGTGACTGTTTGGGGAGTGTCAGGTTCACTACTTAATAAATATGTCCCTTAGTTTTTTTTTTGGGTTAGCAAAAATATTAAAGCTGGCCATACACGAGTTGATTAGAAAACAAACTTTCAAATGAACTTTCATGAAAATTCTAATACATGACGATTGTTCAAAAAAAAAAAGTACTTCAAAAAACATTTGCTTTTAACCTTTGAGTTTGTAGTGAATGCACTTATGCAAATGAACACCACAATCGTTAGAGATTACTTTGAGATACATTTTACGTCCTGTTGTCACTGCAGTTGAAAAATAATTTGATACGTTTTGACCCAACAATAGATTAAAAAATTGAACAAACATTCTAAAAACATACATTTACTACTGAAATTCTTCTGGTATATGGCGAGCTTTAGAGAAGCTGGAGGCTTTTAATCCTAGCTGCCATGGGTCCCCACTGATCATGTGATCATTATGTCAGTGAGAAAAATTGAGTTTTCAGCTATTTTCAGGCTGTAAGGTTCATCTGCATATTTAGGACTTGATTACACATGGTGTGGTGATTGGCATTTTTTTTCTGCACTGGATAAATGCATGTCACCCCTATGGCACTTAGAAAACAATTGTTTTTTTTATGTGTCCAATTCACTCTGGAACACAGCCAGGAGCTGCAATATGGTAAACTGTGGTAAAATGCTGACATGTAGCACTGAGAGGCACTGCATGTCACTGCACAGTGCTTCATTCTGCTGTGCTGGGACTTAAAAATTTTTTAAAAATAAATCGTCAGCACACTGCAAATAAAACTGACAGCTACCCACATACTAAAATGTTGCATTTAGCATGGAGGCAGAGTGATTGAGCACTTAATACTGTAATTAGATTACAACATTAAGAAAAAAAAAATTGTAATTGTAATTTTTATTACACTTATCAACTTATTAAAAAACCTTTAGGCCTCGTTCACACCATATATGCATAAAAACTGATGGAAAAAACGTGCAGATTTCATTTGCAGAGACACCAGCTTTTAATAATTATTTATGCTTGTTTTCAGTGAGTTTTAATGCACATTGACATCAGTTTGCGTGCACATTTTTTTTATGCACAGATGGACATCACACCTTGTGTTATCTTGTCGTCTTGTGTTCTCTTCTGCCTTGTTCACACCACAATGTTGATGTCACATCAGTTTTTTTTCTATGCAGAAAACTGCATACACATTGCAGATTCCTGTCCAGAAAAAATCTGCACTTGATAGTAGTGTTGTGATGTGGACAGGACACACAGAGAACAATTGTTTTCTTTGTGCCCTTGTAGAATGAGTGTAAAAAAACTCACGCATCTGCACATGGTGTGCATGAGGCCTTAAATATAATAAAATGTAAATATGCAAATGAAATCATAAGAATATTGTCATGCTAATGCTGCTAAATTTGGGTGGACATCTAGGCATCCATAACCCCTGGGCACAATAGCTACAAAATCATTAGCTGCTCATCATATGCATACTGCTGCCGATGATTCTAGCACGCCAGAAATTTGTAGCTGCATAGACTAGCACTGTAGCCAGATACATCTACAACTCTATACTAGCTACATTATAACTGTAAATGTAACTAGAACGATTTGGAGCTGCCACAGAGTTTGCTGCTCGGGTATCACACTATGCGTGGTGACCCTTACACATTTCACATTTCAATCTGACTGTACAATCTCTGTTCAATCAGTTTTTTAGCAAACTTATGTGATATGAGGACCTATCTAAACTATCCAATCAATCTGTATCCAATCAGGAAGGCTCTTGTATTACACACTTGTTGGAAGATCTATAGAAGATTGTACAGTGAGATTGTAGAGTTTATGGTAAGCTTGTGAGCAGTTTTTCCATCCGTAATTAAACTGCTATCTCCCTAAAGCAATGCAAAGAAATGGGTAGCCACGGGCCAACATTCCATCCAGGTTTCTGTAATGCACACCAGTTACATACGCAGGGGGTGTGGAAATTTTTGAAAAAACTACTTGTCCAGGGACTACATCGGTGCCCCAATCTACTTGTCCCTCATGACAATCTACTTGTCCTGATAATTTTTTTTTTTTTTTAATCCAAAACTGTATTTAAATCTGCTTTAAGTAATGTCTAGGGCATTTAAAAACAAAAGAAGCTTTATGGCGACTTAAACGTTTAATATTTTTAACATTGCGCTGGTTATCTCCTCCTCCCCTCCCTGCCTCTCTCCAACACCACACCCAAGGACCAGCAGGGAGGAGGAGAGAGACCTTGCACTGTAATGAGCACCGATAGGCTGCTCGTCAGGAAAGGGGAGTTTCAGGCTTATCCTTTATCCCTTTCACTGCCAGAGTTGTTTTTGCGTTTTTTGCACAAGTTTAAAAAATAATTTAAGGCCTGAAGATTACACAAAACTCCAAAAAAATTAAATATTTCCTGACA